GGGTCGGTAACAGCAGCAGCTAGTGCTTACTGAGCACCTGCCTTTACACCCAACACTGTAAATATTGATCCACAGGGCTTCCTGCCATGGCTCCAGGCCATTCACATCAGGAAGTAGAATGCCCATTTCACAACGAGGAAACTGCACCAGCCTGCCAGCCTCACAGCCACGCTCCCCTGCAGCCTCGCCCTGCCTCACTCAGGGGAACTCAGGCAGTGCCCAGGTCCTGAATATCCTGATCCCATGCAGTACAGACCCCAGCGGGCTTTCCCCAGACACTGAGACCCACTGGGCTCCGAAATCTGAAGCTATGCATGCCTTCTTGTGCATCAGAGCTGGACAGACTGACACACACAGACTCCATCGCTCTAGGCACCCTGTCCCTCCATGCCACATCCTACAGAGGTGGTCACTGCCCCATATCTCTGTTATGAGCAAAGACCCAAACCAAGAAAACACTCACTGAGCCCTTGCCAGGCTACGCACTGGTTAGGGGCTGAGGAGCTGTAGGCGAAGTGACAGCCTGACATCCCAGAGCCATCGCACTGCAGGAAAACGAGCATGGACAAGCACAGCCATGCAGGACCCGGGCCTGACCTCCAGGTGCCCGCGCTCACAGAGTGCTTGTGCCACCATGAGCAGGCCCGGTGGCCTGGGAGGGCCTGTCTGTGTCCCGATGAGTGAGACGCTTGCTCTAGACGGAGATCTTTGCTAACCGAAAGGCAGAGTGAACATGCACAAAGCAAATGCAAGCAACAAACACACAGGTCTGAGCAGGGAGACAGGAAATGCACAGCTGCTGTTCTCGAGAGTTCCGCCCGCCCAGCTGGTCTGCCCTTTTCATTACTCAGGAAAAAGTTTGCTTCCTGGGGCTGCAGAGAGAGAAGTGAAAGGCAGCTCTTCCTGCCACCTTGAGACCTTCACTTCTATCCTGTCCCCGAGGCACCCCAAACTGCACCTGGCTCTGCGCTCACACCACAGGCAAGGAGGGCAACCAAGAGGAAGGAAGCGGTCTGTGCTCTGGAAGGCCGGGCTGCCCCCTCTGCTGCCTGGGGGAGGGATCGCCCCGACAGACTAGCCGGTCTGGAACCTGTAAGTGCCACAGTCCCGCAGACACTGCCTTGCGCTCCAGCTGCCTCCCCAGGAGACAGGCAAGTCAGTGTGGCAGGAAGCAACTACCAGCAACTGAAAGCCATGGTGTCTCTGCAAACACAGCCAGCTGACAAGCTGCTAGCCCGCACGGCGTCCGAATCCTGGGGAGGTTCACACACAGAACCTGGCACACAGTCGCTCTTGAAATGCCTGAGGACCAGGTGACGGTGAGCCTGCAGTCCAGGGAGCACCCAGAGGCAATGCCCAGCTCACACTGAGCGTGCCCTTTCCAGTCGCCCTAGGGCCCTCTCTCCAGGCCACCCTGTGTGCAGCCTCCTGCCACCAGGACACATTGCCAGCCTGGCCCCTATGGCACACAAGCCTCAGAACCCTGAGTGTTATGACTTCTACCTTCACACCAAGTGGAGGCCAAGAAACCAACCAGGGCACGAGAACACCAAGGCTTAGGTCTGCTTTCACTCCTTCACCCCAGGACCCTGGCCCTGGCACAGAGCAGGAGCAGGGGGCGCGGGCGAGGAGGAGGGTGAAGGAATGAGGCACTCCACATGGAAAGTAAAGGGGCACCCCAGGCCTGGCACCCAATGTGGCAGCAGCTCAGCTCCACTCTCCTCTGGGGACCCACAGGCCAACCACAGCCAGGACCCAGGTCTCGAAAGTCCTAATCCGTGCACCACCTATCCCAAAGGGCTTTCACCAAATACCAAACCAAGAACTCTCAGAAATCTGAACCGCAGCTCTCCTGGCCTCTCCCCTGGGGACAGACACCCACCCCGCTCCCCAGAAGGAAGCAGAGAGGCCTGATTTCCCCTCTGCAGTTACAGAGAAAAGGGAATCTGGAGAGTGAGGTTCAAGATTCCCAAACAGAAGTGGGAAAACCCACTGTGCAGCTGGGGCTGGAGCCTGCCCAGACAGGACTGCCAGGAGAGCAGCACACGCCAGCTGCACTTGGGGCTCAGGACCGGTCTGTGTCTACTCTGTCGTCAAAGTCGAAGACACATTATGAAACCCAAGAAAAGGAAGTCCATTTCTAAGAAGAGAGAAGGCCTTCTATCCCAACCATACCACTTCATAACACAATCCTCCTTCATAACACAGCGTCAACATGTTGGTCCCCCATGAAACAGTAATACTGATTTTATTTTACTATTGCTCACGGTCACTATTTCTGAAATACACTTGTACAGTGCTTCATAATCCTCAAAGTGCCCGTGTTTCCTCAGAGACAAGAGGCAAGGTGCTCTGTGCCTATTTAACAACGAGGCACACAGCTTTACTACCTAGGTCAAGGTTGCACCCCTAGTCAGGGTCAACACAGCTGTAGCCCCTTATGAATTCCAGGAACACAGAGTGACTCAAGAGTCAAGGAAAGGGTGACCCCTGGTGGACAGTAAGCACAGTGGAATGCCATCTGCATGCCTGCATGAATACACACATACTCTCATGCACGTAAATCTAATCACATTTTTTAAATTATCCATGTGAGGTGGCACACACCTGGAATCTCAGCTACTTGGGACACTGAAGCAGGAAGATGGCAAGTTCGAGGCCAGCCTGGGTAACTTAGCAAGACTGTCTCAAAGTAAAATAAACAGGGCTGGGGATGTGGCTCAGTAGTAGAACACTTGCCTGGCATGGGCAAGGCCAAATAGATAACTAAAAGAATTTACTGGATGCTAACTATCCCTGAAGAGTCTGTCCTTTCAAGTGTTCTTCTGTCAAATCAGTGGGTGATCAGCCTGAATTACAGGATAAAAAATGTAGATTTCATATTCCTCATAAGACAGTATGTCAACCACAAAATAAACACTCACTTGCTTACATGCAATACTTCCAAAGCTGAGTCAACACTGAGAATAAGCACTACTGACCAGGGCAACACTCCAGGTGGCCATGGGTGCCTCCCTGCACCCGAAGAGGAGGTGGGACCCCCCGGGCTTGAAGGGTTGCTTCTGGAAAAACTCTCAGTGGACACACATTTCCTCATGAACCTCTACCTGTGCTATATATATACACAGTAATAACTGTGTTTGTTATAAAACTGAGACAAAGGAAGCTTTTAAAAATGTAATTTGAAGTTTCAATCTTCTGGCACTCCAACAGCTCATCTAGGCACCTAGTCTCCACAGGGCTGTGGGAAAAACCTCACAGTGTGATTTCTCCCTGACAAGACACCCTATCATTTTCTAGTGGGCAATTTGAGTTTCCACGGGCCAACATGACCACTAGAAAGGAGCATGGACTTGGTAACAGCCTCGACAGGGAAAGCACACTGTGACCCAACACTTAGCACAAGAAGCTTAGCAACACAAAAGGATACCTCAAATTTTCAGGATTTTCATTCCACATATCGCATGTCTAAGTATTTAAAAATCTCAGACCTCTTGAAACCTCTCACCTTAGGAAATTTTACTACAAAGAGAAGGACTATAAAGTTTCCACCCCAAAAGAGCAGGGCAGCCCCAGAGCTTGCCTTAGGAAGCACAGGATTATACAGGCCCACAGTGGGGCTCCCTCTTGAGGAGCTGAGGTGCTGAAGCACTCTGTGCCCACCCACCAGAGCGAAACGCCACGCCAGGTCTACCCCTGTCGTCGACCTTCTGACCCCATGTGGCACCTTTGAGAATCAGGGCAATGACTCATAAAAGGATTCCTAAAGAAGGAGCCATGTAGCCTCTGCACCAGGCTCACACAGAGGTGGGTCCGGGAGGTCTTGGGTGGTGCCCTGGGTCATCCTGGCCTCCACGGTGCATTCCCAAAGGCTTCATTAGAACCAAAGGCCCTTGCCATGCATCAGCTAAGGTGCTCTTAGGGCTGTCGAGCCTCACCTTGGCCTTCCCTCGGCCTAGCCCACGCTGGCTGTACCACAGGCACTTTTCACTGTGAGAGGAAAACACTTTTAATTCCCCCACGCAAGACTAGATAAAGATCACTGCAAATGCTATGTTTGTAGAGTCACTCATTAATGACATATCTGTTACTAGGAAAATAAAACATAAAATGGTCTGCAATTGCTCAATGTCACGTGTCCGTGTGACTGGCTATGCTACCAATTCTTTGGTCAAATATCAGTTGAGATATGGCTGCAAAGTTTTGTTTTGTTTTTTTTATGTGATTAGGATTTAAATCAGCAGACTTTGAGTTAAGCAGACCACCCTCCATAACAGGGGTGGGCCTCATCCAGTCCACTGACAGCCTGAAGAAAAAGACTGGGGTCTCCAAAGGAAGAATGAATCCAGCCCCCAGACTCAGGATGCAACCCCCACTCTTCCCTGGTCTCCAGCCTGCTCTGCACATGTCACACTTGCCACTACCTACAATCACACCAGCCAGTTTTAAAATATTAAAAAAAAAAAAAAAATAGCACTCTTTTCTCTCTCTAGATAGATGCAGATAAGAAACATGCACATGGATGCGAGCGCGCGCGCGCACGCACACACACACACACACACACACACACACGCAGTTTCTCTTTACTGTTTTGTTCCTCTGGGAAGCCCTGACCAGCACTGAAGAGTTTTCAAAGATCATAACCACAGAGTTTCATGCACTGCCCTCTGCTGGGCTGTGTGTTAAAATGCATCCCCCCGAGTCAAAGTCAATCATCTCACCAAGTCGAAGCACAGGATGTTCTGTTAAGAGTAAATGAAGGGAGGATGGTAAAGGGCCAATAAAAATCATTCCAATCAATCTATAAAGTAGACCAGCCCAGCGGACAGTTTGTGTTAATAATGTTGAGTCACGTTAGTCCAATGAGAGAAATTTCACAGTGCATGAGCCTTCATAAAATATTACACTTTAAAACAGGCTTTGTCAGAGTTTACTGAATGACAAAAAAAGAAAATATACCAACAAAATAAAAGGCAAAATGAAAGGAGAAATTCAACTACCTCTTGGTTATCTTTGTTTTGGTTTGCCCAGAAAATCTTATGGTAAAGCGTCTCCATTGAGTTGCTGGAATCAGTTCGGTCAAAACAGTGTCGATCCAAGACTTCCAACGTGTGCAAAACCCGACTGATAGTCACCCCTAGATGGAGAAATGAAGCATGCAGTTAGGGAGGCCACGGAAACCAGAACAGCAGAGCATAAAAATCACCATTCTGGGGGGCAAGGGGGTTTCCTGAAGTCACCATTCTGGGCATGTTTCCCAAGAGAACCATCCATGAAACCCAACCAGACATTCCAGACAGGCAGAACCTGAAGAATGTCCTCACAATTCCCCGCAGAGCTGTGCCAAAGACCCTCCTTACCACGGGAGCGCACTGACAGAATCTGAAACCTGGCATGAGGCCCAGCCCATGAAAGCCCCCGCTCCTCCACTGTGCCCTGTACCTGCTGTGGACTCCTGGCACTTGTCAAAGGACCACCGGACTTCCACCGCACGGCCCCTTTGTTTTATCTGCTGTTCCACCTCATAGATCTTGGCCCGAACCTGAAAGATAATCGCTTCCAATTAACTCTGCTGCAAAGCTGAGACGGCTGTCTATGTCATGTCAGGGTTTCTGCCTAGCAGAAGGTCCTGTGGTGAATGACAGCCATGGCTACAGGGGACGAGAGCAGCCCACTGCCCACAAGGACAGCCTTCCAATGCACAAGTGCTGATCCAGTGCCAGCTCTCAATGACAAATGTCCATGGAAATTAATGTGTGAAGGGCACTGTAACAGGTGGGATTGCTTTAGGATATTGTAAGAAAGGGCAAGAATTTTTAAATATCCTCTTTGAGCCAATTGTCTAGTCAGGAAAGTAACTAGCAATGTTTTAGTAATTTAGAAAACTGCTTGGTTAAAAAAAAAATAGATAAATAAAAAACAAGGATGATCTTCTACATGTTAGTTATAACACTTGTTCAAGTTGCATAAATCTTCAAACAAAGCAGCAGCACCAGAAGATCACAGAAGAGTCACTGAACGACACTCGCCAGCATGGGAGTCACAGTCAGGCATTGGCATCACCACCAAATGGCCTGGGAGGAGAACGCTGAGCAGGACTGCCCAGCAAGAGGGGGAAGGGAAGAGAGCGACTTCCTGAATCTCTGTGTTCAGCAACAGCAGAGAACCCTGAGGTTGGCAGGGGCGAGGAGCAGAGCTGGGGATGAACTCCGGCTGAACCCGGCGGGGGCCCCTTCGCCCAGCCCCTGGAGAAAGAACACCTACCACCCAGGACACAGTCTACCTGCTGGTTGAATGCCGTGTTCCCTCCCGGCATGGGGAGGCTGGACGGGGCGACCTGCAGCAGGTCCAGAGGTGAGCCCGCGCTCACACTCTTGCTTTCATTTGTGGAGTAGTTCCACACCAAGGCACTTGGGCAGCAGAGAGTGACCGTCTAGGAAGGAAGCAGGGAAATCAGGGTGTGAGAGGGAGGGGGAGGAGAGCTGCGGACTCAGCAGAGATAGCTGTCACCATCAGTGATGCCCCAGCTCAAGGCCACAGGGGGTCTCTTTACTCCAACCTCACCAACACCAATCTGCACGTCAGACAACAGGTCCTCGCTCCAGGCATTGCCAGGAACCCCCCACCACACCCTCCTCACCTCACGTTTCTCTAATTCATTGTCTCAAACTGTCCCCTAGGAAAGCCTGCCTGACCACAGGCTGGGCTGCAGATCCCCTTTGTGACTGCCTTAGCTGGGCCTGTCCCTATCAGCCCTCGACCTGTCACAGGACACTGCAGCTCCGTTACTCTACCTTCCCTACAGGACTGCAAGCTCCAGCTCCTGTGGAGACCCACCTTCAGAGCCACCTAGTTCCAAAGGGCACCTGAGAGCTCAGGAAATGTGAATGAACTCAGGGTGATACTGTGGGGCCCCATGGGCAGGCCATGCCTCACCCGAGAGCACTGCCCAGCAACCTGCCCAGGGCAGCACCCTCGAGCACCGGCAGCAAGCATGCCCGCCAGAAGCAGTGCCTGCCAGAAGATCAGACTGAAGAAACAGGCAGCCAACTCAAGACATGACTGAGGAAGCCAGCGCTGCCCACAGAAGCCTCCTCCAGAAGAACAGGGCTGCTGATGACAGCAATGGCTACCCTGTGGGTACCCTGGAGGACTTTTAATTGGGCTGCTGAAAGGCCTCAATAGAGGACAACCACAAAAACTTTCTTCTAGAAGAATGCAGCAAATCTTCTCTGCGCTTTATCCCACGCAGAGTAATCAAACTTCAACATAAACTACTTGGTTGAGGGAAAAATGACACTCGGTACATAGAAATAGAAGTGCCATCTCCAGCCCGATGGCTTCCCACATGGGACTGATGTGACATCACCCGGGCCGCAGACTCACCTGCAGCATGCAACTGAGTCCGTACACCAGGGGCCCGTGCTGTGCGCAGGAAAGGAAGTCTGAGAAGGCCAGCTGCACGGGGCTCATGCCAGGGCCGGGGGGGCCGGGGCTGGGCGCCCCGATCCCCGAGCTGTTGGGCCCGATCATCATGTGGGGGGAGTGGGCGGCCAGGAGGCTGTGGCTGTCGCTTAGCAGCAGGGACAGACGCCGGGCACAGAAGTAGGCCAGACGGCGGGACAGGTAGGCTGACTGCACAAACTCATCCGAGTACTGCAAGGAGAAGACAAGCCACCAGTCACGCCCGCCTTCACAAGCAGCTGCTCCAAGGCAGACGCTTCTCCAGGAAACAAGAAGAAGCCTGCACAGACCTGTGCTGTCAACTGCAGACAGAACTGAGCCACACATATGATCTGAGATTTTCTAGTAGCCACTAAAAGAAACAGGTGAAATTAAAATAATGTGCTGTGTTTAGCCCAACACACCCATTTGATCATGTCTACCTCTGACCAACATAAAAGTGTTATAGTAGCATTCACTCTTGTTTCTCCCCTGTGAGTCTGAAGGCTGGAGAGCATTTTACACACAGAGCACATCTAGGTTCACAGGGCCACAGCTGAGGCGCTCAGCAGCCCATCTGGCTGATGACCTGTGACAGGCCAGGTGTCTGCAGCACCCGGCAGGGGCAGCTGAGAGGGAGGGCCACCGCTACCCGAGCACACGGGCACTGCTCCAATCATCAAAGGCTCATGTGATGGCTCCGTGGGGAACAGCTTCTAATGAATCCCACTTGGCGAACTTAAATTTCATCACATCTTAGACACATCACGAGATGAGAAGACTCCTACCTGCCAGGAACTCAAGGAATTATCAAAAGAAGGTAGAGATTCTCTGCACTCTACCAGGAGGTTTGTTTTGTTCTTGTAGCACTCAGTCTAAAAGACGGGGGGGGGGGGGGGGGGCACTATTCTAGGGGCTGTCTGCTCAGCTCAGACGCGGGAGAGACCAGTGCAATAAGATTACATGTTAACCAAAAACCACGGACATGACTGCTGAAGGTCACTCCAAGTCTTCCTACATAGTATAAGAATACACCACAGTGAATTCCACCTGGGTGTACGTCCACAGGAGTGGGGGCCTAATTTAGAATAAGAGACATTCTATGCCTGTATAATTGTATCAAAATGAACCGTACTGTCATGAATAACTAAAAAAAAAATTGGAAATTAGAAAATTAAAAGTTAAAAATAATATATAAATTTTTTTTAAATTTTTTATTGTTGGTTGTTCAAAACATTACAAATTTCTTGATATATCATATTTCACACTTTGATTCAAGTGGATTATGAACTCCCATTTTTACCCCATATACAGATTGCAGAATTACATCAGTTACACATCCATTGATTTACATATTGCCATCCTAGTGTCTGTTGTGTTCTGCTGCCTTTCCTATCCTCTACTATCCCCCCTCCCCTCCCCTCCTCTCTCTCTACCCCCTCTACTGTCATTCATTTCTCCCCCTTGTATTATTTTTCCCTTTCCCCTCACTTCCTCTTGTATGTACTTTTGTATAACCCTGAGGGTCTCCTTCCATTTCCATGCAATTTCCCCTTCTCTCTCCCTTTCCCTCCCACCTCTCATCCCTGTTTAATGTTAATCTTCTTCTCCTGCTCTTCGTCCCTACTCTGTTCTTAGTTACTCTCCTTATATCAAAGAAGACATTTGGCATTTGTTTTTTAGGGATTGGCTAGCTTCACTTAGCATAATCTGCTCTAATGCCATCCATTTCCCTGCAAATTCTATGATTTTGTCATTTTTTAATGCAGAGTAATACTCCATTGTGTATAAATGCCACATTTTTTTTATCCATTCGTCTATTGAAGGGCATCTAGGTTGGTTCCACAGTCTTGCTATTGTGAATTGAGCTGCTATGAACATCGATGTAGCAGTGTCCCTGTAGCATGCTCTTTTTAGGTCTTTAGGGAATAGACCAAGAAGGGGAATAGCTGGGTCAAATGGTGGCTCCATTCCCAGCTTTCCAAGAAATCTCCATACTGCTTTCCAAATTGGCTGCACCAATTTGCAGTCCCACCAGCAATGTACAAGTGTACCCTTTTCCCCACATCCTCGCCAGCACTTGTTGTTGTTTGACTTCATAATGGCTGCCAATCTTACTAGAGTGAGATGGTATCTTAGGGTGGTTTTGATTTGCATTTTAAATTTTAAAATTTAAAAAAAAAAAATTTAAAACCTCTTCTGAAAACATTTGCTTTGGAGGCAGATATTCATTCTTTCCTCTTCTAAAGGGAATTGTTCCCCTTTCTACCTCTACTTACCTAATCATTGCCTTCAGACTGACTTTTCCTGCCCATAAAACCAGCTGGCTCAAGGTCCCATTACTGTACCTGCAGCATCAGCGGCAGTAGGAGTTTAAGAAGGTCGTCATCCATCGGTCTGATCTTCTCTAGGACATCCAGGATCCACGTCAAATATTCATGCTTTTCCAGCAATCCTTCCTTCAGTGGGCAAAGAACAATTGCGCCAGTGCCGTTAGAGAAACACCAGTGAATGCGTCAAGGGCACCATGAGTCCTCAGCTTAGGCGCCACCTCGCTACTGTCTCACTGTCACAGTGATGCGGTCTTGTTGGCCACAGTCCAAATTATAACCCATGAAGAACTAGGGTTTTTTAATATGACTGGGCTGGGAATTTTTATTTTGGTAATCTGATGAATTCTAATTCAGAACATTGAATTCCCACAAGAAAGGACATTTGAAAGCTCTCACATTCCCGGGTCACATCAAGTCCATGGTGAGATTTCAGGGATGGAAACTTGATGAACAGTGATAGCTGGAAAGAAGCAGATCCCCGGGCTGGGGAGCTGGTCAGGGGCCAAGTGCTCCTGAGTGTCTGCCTACGTGCGAGAAGCCCTGGATTCCAGCATGGAGAGCCATCACAGCACCCAGCTTGGACCACCACCTCAAGGGAAGTCAGGAAACCCCCCCAGGCCCAGAGCCCTCCACACAACGGCAACAATCAACATACCGACCCACTGTCATGCACAGAAATGGAAGCAGTGCACAATCACGTGTAAACAATCCAACTCAGCACACTAACTGGCTCCAGGAGGGCCAGGCTGGCGGAGCCCATCAGACAGACCGCTGCTTTACTGATTGAGTATGGTGCTCGAGGTGGAACCCAGGGTTTTGAACATGCTAGGCAAGTGCCAATCTTGACCTAACACCATCAGCACTGTGAGAATGGCCTGAGGCCTGAGCCTAAGCAACTCCATTTTAAAAACTCCAGTTTGAAACCTGCAGTTTCACCAGGCACACCCACAGAGCCCTCCAGTATGGCCTCAGACAAGTCACTTCCCCTCACCCAGATAAACAGAGTGAAGTCTCAGGCAGGCTGTCCTCTCCTGAAAAGAGGGAAAGGTGGGAAGATCAGGGTGGAGACCACCAGACCAGACGTTTCTGACCCCAGAGTAAATTATGTCACTGAGAAATCCGGTGGTAGCTGATAAGGATTAAAAGGGGGATTAAAAGCCCCCAAATTTAGTATAAATAATAGAGCAAATGAACAGGGATGCAGCGAGCCGAAATAAGGATGCACTCAAGCTGGAGAGCCTGATGAGGACCTGACATCCCATCACTTGTCATCTTTCCTGATCCTCTGCGTGATCCTCACTGCTCTCAAACTTTACGGCCTTGTCTGGACCTTGTTGAGAGCCACAACTTCTCCCTACGACCCTTTCCTCAGCTGGTTGTCCACTCCACGCCAGGAGAAGCCTGCGTTGGTTCCAGACCTGATCACCGCTGGCTGAGTGAGTGTACATCTGCTGGACATAAAGCCTAAGGTTTAAGACTTTTGATATGACATTTGAACTTAGCCTACAGAGGGAATGTCATGAGCCTGTCATGATTAAGAGTGTTTTGCAGTGCTTAGAATCTAGAATTGTTTGCTGTGAATTAATTAATCTAGAATTGTTTGATGTGAATTGATTATGTCTATTGCAGTGCCTAGCTTAATGGATTGTCATTTTCTTGATTAAGAACCTATAGAGTGAAATTGTATTGAGTAATTTGAGTGAATAAAGCACTGCTAGGGGCAGAAGTGCATGGACATTCTTTATTTCTCCCCTCGATTCACAATTTTGCTCCCTCGCAACACGCACCTTTTGCCTACTGCCTTCAAATACACATACACAGAAATATGTTCTTTCATGATGCTCTAGGCATGTATGTGACATTCTGTTACAGTTTTGTACTATGAGTCACAGAATGAAAGAACCTTCGAAATAACAACAAAATGACCCATTTTCTGGAAAAAACACGTACATTCACGGCAACATGGAAACAAACTGAGTATAGTTAGTGTGAAATCCTGCTCTATTCCTAGTAAACTTTACATATCACCGGGACCCACCACAACAGTCAACAAGAATTTGTGTGAAAACATACTAATCAATTATAAATTATAGTGATACCTTATTTGACATGACACCAAGGTACTATTAATTTCTAGTTTCCTTGATACTGAGAGTGAGTCAAAAATGGTTATAAGGGAACTTTAGACCACTAAAATGAACTTCAATCAGGACAAAGTATTTGTCTATTTAAATACATATTTTTTAAATGAACAAAAATGCAATTTTGTGCTAAAGTACAAGAAATGGTAAATGCAAGCCTCAAAAAAATTAATTAAAAAAGAACCTTCATACATGTAACCGCCCCTCCTCTGGACGCCTTTGCACATCTCCTTGCCGTGTGTCTGCACACGTGCCTGCGTGTGGATCAGCACTAAGGTGTGGTGCACATTTCAGAATATGGCAAATTGAAATATCACAAGCTTGTTTATGTTTCAGTCATGTTCACCACTATATGACCTAATGGTCTTTTATAGAAGCGACGTTGATTTCAATGTTCCTACCATGTAAAGTAATCTTTACAAAAATATTAAACATGCTAACATACTTGTTCCAAGATTCAGACTAAATTCTCAGCTCACAAAAACTCACAGACACTCAAGGTAAGGCCGACTGACACAGTTCTATGACAAATCAAAGCAGGTTCGTGAGGGTTGCTTTTGGTGATTTAAAAACTGGCCATGTGACTTCACAAGGGAACCCCTTATTTTCCTACTTCGAGCTCTTAGAAAAAGTCACATATCACCTGAATATTATAATTAAGGTTCTAAGAGGCAAATGTAGAAAACTGTGCATCGCCTTCCTCTGATTAACACAGTAGGTACTCAAAATCTGTGTTCATGATATGACTCCAGCCTCATCATGCCTCCTCACCAAGAAGAGGATGAGGCAAACGGCCCCCGGCGCCCCCTTCTGGTCAGTGTGAACACATGAGCACATCAGCAGTTGGGGAGAGCCCAGCTCCTGGCCTGGACTGTTTGCATTTTCAACAGCAGCTGAACCAAATGAAGATGAACCTTCTCTGGAATAACTCAGCCCTAAAGGAGATGTGTTAGGAGACAGGAAGCATCGGCACAGGGGAGTTTTTGAACAAGTATATCCAATTTTGCAAAATAAGGTGCGTACAAGGATTATATTTAAAAGAACAATTGCAAAGTAATTAATGGCATAAAAAGGTTGACATCCTAGAAAGCTGGAGAAAAACATGCAGAAGAGGCTGTCATCCCAGGGCAAAGGTGTCATGATGTCATCAAAGACGTCAGGCTACTTTCTCAGAATGTGTCGGTTTATATAAAGACACAATTAACACACACAAGACATAACTACACTCACACAGTCATGGACAGACCACACACACATCAAGCACTCAGCATGGCATCGGTGGGCATGAGCGCAGGCCATGGCGGTGCAGTGATGAGACCACTGGGAGCACCTTCTCAGCACAGGTATCCTCGTTAAGCAACATACATCTGTGCACAGAACTGGCTCTTTTTAAAAGCATGCCACACAGCCCCCTGCAGGCCTTGGAGGAATTACCTGGAACATGTGAAACGCCAGCTTCTCGTTGTACTCCCACTGCCTCATGGCTTGCTCCACCTCCGGGGGCACAGGGACAGGGCCATCGCTCGCAGTGGACGCCAAGTGGTAGAAGTCAGAAATCTTGGCCAGCTGTTCTCGAAGGTACCGAGTAGATATCTGCGTCCACTCTGCATTTAAAATAGAGATATACATTGAATTCTAGACACGATGGTTTAAGAATTACATTTTTCTTCTCAAAGTTATGATTATCTTGAGGATGTATTTGTAAATCCAAAATTGACTGCTGGGTGCAATGGTGCACACCTGTTAATCCCTGTGACTCGAGGCTGAGGCAAGAGGATCAAAAGTTCAAGGACAGCCTGGGCAACTGAGCAAGACCCTAAATCAAAAGATAAAAAGGGTTGGGGATGCATCTCGGTGGTGGGGTACCTCTGGACAAATACAACATAAAAATGGTCTTTGCATATGCAAGCAGAGTTCAGAACAGCAAGCCCACCCCAAGCCCTGCAGTCATGTATGCTAGTGCAAGGTGGCCTGCCCTGAAGCAGTCAGCAGAGCCTTCCAGCTTTCGGGAGGAAAAAGCCACCCTACCCTTAAGCTTCTGCGACCCTTCACCTAGGAGAAAACACATCCACATTTGAATTTGACCTGTCTGATGATCCTCTGTGTGATGCAACAAAAATACCAAATGCAAAACAGGAAACAGCAGCAGAGGAGGGCCATCCCAAGCCTAGCTTCTTCAGCAGAAGAAAGCAAAATCTCAGAAGGCAGCTCACTTGGGATTCAGCTTTTCAGGGTCCAGCTCAGGTTTTAAACACACTCATTAAGATGCACTCTGGCTTCCTGCCAAGAGAGGTGGCCAGCAAAGCTTTCCCACCTACACTGTCTGCACCACGCACTATGGCAGCGTGTGCCCAGGACGAAGACCCAGCTGCCTGGCCAGCACTGGACCTGCAGCCACTCTCTGCTCCTCACCAGCACGTGCCTCAGCACAGGAGGGGTGGAGTCAGACACAGTAAGGAGCAAGGGAATGTCGGACACCAGAAAGGAAATGGAAAAAGTAACATCAGAAAAACAAATTACTAAAATTATTCACCAACATCCACCATGGAGGCACCAACTAAATCGGTGTGTTGCCTTTGGCAACCACAAGGGATGCGGTGCCGGCTTTAGCCCATTCTGCGGATAAGAACATAATGCCAGTGGCCATATCTCCACCAGGATCAGCGCAGCAGCATCAGAAGAGACCACCTTACATGAATACCACCACACAGCGCTGCCTTCCTCTTGTCCTCAGCCCAGGTTCTCCTCCTTCCATTCTAACAAAAGTCATAAGCAGAAATTAAACCTTGATCAGTACCCAAACGCTCTGCTCTTACTTGGTCAGTACCCAAGAGCTCTGCTCTTACTTGGTGGGTAACCAAGTGCTCTGCTCTTACTTGGTCAGTACCCAAGAGCTCTGTTCTTAGTCCGTACCCAAGCACTCTGCTCTTACTTGGTAAGTACTGCTAAAACCCTTGACAACAGCACCCAGGGATAACTCTGTTAAGTTCTGGTCTAAATCACTTGTTCTAATTGTGCCTTTGTTAAAATTAAAATGTAAAGGCTATTGAACTCCAGCAATGAGCTGATGATCAAACCCAAGGTTGACATTCTGTCCAGAGTGTCAGTGTTTCAGAAAGCTCCACTGACTGCACACACCTGCTTGAGACTGCTCATTCCACTGAAAAAAAAGTACCAAGCCACCAACAGCACCACTGTCTTGTTCCCCGACGTGGACTAGCAGTCTCAGGACATTCGTGTATTCAACAAAAGCCAGCCGTCAGGGGACGAGTTTAGCTCAGCTATAATGAGCAAATATAAAAATAACAAGGACCCACACCCCAGCTTCTGTTTGGCAGTCCTTGCTATTAACTTGTGGCAGGGTGGCTCTGGTTCTCAACATGCCTGCAGGGCAGGGCAGGGCAGCCTCCAGAGCTAAGGATGACACAATGCCCAGTTCACGCAGGGTGTGCCTTCCTTATCAGGATACATGTCTGCTGTGCATGACCTGGATATACAGAGTCGGTCCTCAGCGTCCACGGGAACTGGTTCTAGGACCCATACACCCATTACCAAAATCCACGACACTCAGCCCCTTCCACAGGAAGGCGTGGCATTTACACAAAACCTTCAGTTAAGTTGTCCAAATCACTTCCGATACCCAATACGGTGTAAATGTCATGGCTGCTGTCGCCATGCTGTGCTGTTTAGGGAACAATGACAGGAAAAGAGTCCACGTGTGTTCAATACAGATGCACCTATCTTCTATTGTCCGTACAGGGTTGGTTTAATCTGTAGATTCAAAACCCACAGACACAGAGGACCAACGGTATCTTTCCATCTTTCCTCCTCAATGTGTACTTGGATGTTTAACAGACATTTGCATACCTCCTTTTTAAATATTGTTGAATGCACCTCTCCATATCTGACTCCTCTAGGAATTCACGGATGAGCCCTCTCAGCACTGGGCCCTAGCTATGATTAACAGAGCATTAAGTCATCACATCAACCACACTGATTCAGAGGCCTGGGCCGAAAGACGCGGTGATGAAGATGAAAACCCGGAACATACCCATGATTGTCATTGGCAACTGAAGATGATGTGTGGCAGTCTGTGCTGCGTGCCCTGCACCTGTGGAGAGAGCTCAGTGCCGTGAAGGACCACAGGGTCAGTGGCCACACAGGTCTGCTTTGAACTTAGACGTGGTTGTCAGCTCCGAGGGGTGACAGTGCAACAGAAGGTTTTGGTGACTTTTTTTTTTTCTCCTGTGGTACTAGGACTGGACCTAAAGGTCCCCTGAAACTGAGCTATATCCCCAGCCCAACTTCTCACCAAGTTGCCCAGACTGGCCTTGGACCTGCAACCCTCCTGCCTCGGCCTCCTGAGCCATGGGGATTACTGGCTTGCACAACCACAGCCCAGCCAGGAAGCTCTGAGCAAAAACCACTGACAATGGCCCAGTTCTGTCAGCTTCTCGTGTAACTGGACTGGAACAGGGACACAGTCTCAAGGGACAAGAAAATCGGAATGGATAAAGACTGTAGGAGAGATACGGGGAGGGGAAGAAAGGCCCAAAGGCAGAAAATAACCAAGGAGGCTGCTCTGACCCTGGATTCAAACAACTCAGAAGCCACGGCGCCATTCTTTTGCTGCGGAGAATTTCGTTTCCAGGAGGGGGGGTTCCTGGAAAGCTCATGAACACAACTGTTCCTGAGAGTGGAGTCAGGGGTCTTCCTCCTGATGTGCTCCCTTTACCTTGCAGAATCTCAGAGCCACACTTCCTTCTCATTGAAGCCCAGCCCAGAACAGAAGCTGAACCTGGGGCATTTCAGGGCTCATGCCATCCACCCTGCCTCTGTGCGGATGTGGCACTGTGGGGTGGCACATAGACGCAGCAGACCAGCAGCGGAGACCAGGCAGAGCGACCCTGAATGCACAAGCATGTCCATTGATGAAAACCGTGGGGAGGGCAGACACCTGCCATGGGAAAGAGACCCCTGCTCATCCTACAAAGCCTGCAGGGGATATCAGGGGAGGCTGGGGGCTTGGCAGAAGAGGAGCCTCCACTTGAAGCAAACCCAGAGCACCCTCGGCAACAAGGGTTGGCACTGAGAGTCACGGAGGTGCCTGATGCTGCGGTGCCATCTCGGCAGCCATAGAACAGCATTCAGTGGCAGGAGAAGAAAAACAGGCTTTGAAACAGGATGGTGCTGGGCTCCAGACCCCGGCTCCATCACTCGCCAGGGGTGCAGCCTGAAGCAAGTTATCTAACCCCTGCTAAGTCACAATGTCCTCTTCTGCAAAACCTGGGTTAATACACACATGCCTCGGAGTCACCGTAAGGACACACCAATGGGCGTAAAGATGCACCACTGACCATAAGGACACACCACTGGCACAGTGCACACAAAACAGAAGCTGAACGACACACAGGAGCTCTTAGCACCATCCTCAAGACAAAATGAAATGTTTTTAGAAAGAAAACGGAAGTGAGGCCTGACTGCTGATGGACAGGGCAGCCACCGACGGCCTGCCTCTGGTCACCTCACTCAGCACCATGGCTGATGCAACACCCAGCACCACTGTACATACCATGGAATCGATCAGCGTCCGCTGCATAGCTCAAAACCATCCGATGGCTCCACAGCCCTTAATCAGCAAAGCTTCAGCTAGGAATTAAAATCATCTCAAACACCATCGACCGACCACTGCTCGCTTCGCCCCCAGCTCAGGCACTGTGATCACTGGCATAACACTTGAGCTCAGAGGTGACAGCTCCACCTCGGAAACCCACTTCTTGGAAAGTGTTCCCTGGGTTCCACAGCGACAATAAGAAGTCCTCGAAACTTTAGGATGAGAAGATTTAGTTAGCCCGGCTCTGGCACAGACCAAATGGGAAAAAAATCAACTTTGGCACATGTAAGCTGCTGCATGCTCCATTTCAAACACTCAATAAAAGACTGAAAGATTTTACAGCATTTATCACACTTTCTGTTGTTACAATGGGTTCCTGGTGAAAGAATACCATCCTCAAAAGTAAAAAATTTATACATAAATAACAAATTGGAAGAAATACAGGAAAACCTTTTGATAAAGGACTTGAACCTAGGATAAGTGAGAAACTATTGCAATTCAACAACAAAAAAAAAAGTCAAACAGCCTGATTTAAAATGGGCAAAGGATTTTATAGACACTTCTCAAAAGAAGATAAATAGCCAATAAGCAGACCTCAAAGACACTGAACACCATCGGCCATCGGCGATGCAAACCAACACCATAGAGGCCTAGGCCAGCTCTACTGCGAAACAGGCAGGAAGAGGCACCAGTCGGGACAGAAACTGCAGCCCTCTTCCCTCACTGGGGGGAACGTGAGTTCAGAAAAGGGCTGCTCCTCGAAGACCACGCGTGAGGTTCCCACATATCCAACAGCTCCACAGCCACGTCTACACAGACAGGTACAAATGTGCACAGAACACAGCGGGATTCTGTGGTGAGCCGTTCCTATAGACCGTGGCCGCCATTAGAAGATGGC